GTGTCATAAACCAAGAGATCCACTACCAGACTTACCTTGTGTGATATGAGTATTTGGAGGTGGAGTCGGAGTATTTATATAACTTTTTTGAAAGTAAAGGTTTTTTTCGCAACTTGTAGGGAATAATGCGCATGAGGTTCGAATAATTCAAATAGCTGAAGAAACCCAACAATCCATTGAAACCGCAACAGAAAACACTGCCAAAAAACTCAAAAGAAAACTTACACAGGAATCGGACCAACCTCAACCATCAACATCCAAACTACCCAAAATCAACACTAATGTGGACATTGACCGAACACCACCATCAAGCCCAAAACCAAAACCACTCACAGACCAAGAAAAAAGAAGACGAAAATGTGCCATCATCCGTGCAATCCAAAAAAGAAAACAAAATCGACCTTCAACATCCACCACCAAACCATTCCAACATTGCTATCGATGTGGAGATCTCACTCACAAGGCTACCTACATTGACTGTCCGGCCAAAAAATATGAATGTAAACTGTGCCAAATTCCTGGACATTTCGAATTTCTGTGTCATAAACCAAGAGATCCACTACCAGACTTACCTTGTGTGATATGAGTATTTGGAGGTGGAGTCGGAGTATTTATATAACTTTTTTGAAAGTATTGATTTTTGTGTATGAGTCATTGGAAATGTGTGTAATGTAGAATGTATTTGAGGAGGCATGAGAATCTTCTGTATTCACTCCGCTCCTTACTCCATATGTTGGTTTGAGGTTTGGTCTCTGGAGGTGGAGTTGGAGTAATGAAGAATGTATTTGAGGAGGCATGAAAATCTTTTGTATTTACTCCGCTCCTTACTCCATATGTCGGTTTGAGATTTGGTCTCTGGAAGTGGAGTTGGAGTGTTGAAGAATATATTTGAGGAGGCATGAAAATCTTTTGTATTTACTCCGCTCCTTACTCCATATGTTGGTTTGCAGGTTTGGTCCCCTTCTGTACCGTTCGCCGCTTCCTTTATGTTCGCGTTGCTCGACGCTTCTTGCAAGACGTGCACGTTAAGCGTTGCTTTGCAACGAGCAACGCGAACATAAAGGAAGCGGCGAACGGTACAGAAGGGGACCAAACCTGCAAACCAGAATATGGAGTAAAGAGCGGAGTAAATACAAAAGGTTTTCATGTTTCCTCAAACACATTTTTCATTACTCCAACTCCAATCCCAGAGACCAAATCTCAAACCGACATATGGAGTAAGGTGCCTCATGTCTGATAAAATGTACGGGAACCAGTGAAATATATTTCCATTGTTGCCCACGGTACTAAGTTTTTGGGGCCGGGAGGCGTGGGGTTTCTTGTCGAAGGCTTTTTGGATATCCATGTAGACACTTACAATGGAGTATCCAGCGTCGTAGGCTGCTGTGACGGTCTCAAAGAAGTAGAGCTGTCAGCCATTTACGGATCTTTGCGATAGTAATCTGTACTGTCGATCATGTATGGCGTTTGTAGCTAGGAGAAACCTGATTAACGGGCCTCTGACCAGACGTTCAAGGGTTCTCAGTAGGAGGGAGTTATGATGGATCCCCCTTTAGTTGGAAGGAGTTTGCCTACATCCGGATTTAAAATGCGGGTGGATTATAGAGTTCTTCCACTGGGAGGGGGCGATTCCATAGTTTATAGAGTGGGTGAAAATATTTAATACAAGGATTCCGATATCTTGGCCGCCTTGTTTCAGGATACGGGGTGGAAGGCCGTCGGCCCCTGGCACAACAGTGTCCCTAATCTTCAGAAGAAGGGAAGAAACATCAGCTAGGAAGATGGTTACGTTACTGATAGTCGGGTGGCTGTCCTGGCCGTTCACACTTTGGAGGTAAACAGCTGTGGGTGTGGGTTTGGTGTTAGGAGTAAAGGGCGAGTAGCAGCTGGCGAAGTAAGCGTTTAAATGGTCTGCTTTGTTGACAGGATCAGTGATGGGGCCACTGTCTGTGGAACGCAGACAAGTAATTGAATGGCTGTTTAGAACGCAACGCCTACGGAACAGTCGGCTGAGTAATTTGGATTGGAAGGGAGATCTGAGGACGGCGTTCTCTTCTAGGCGTTCGAGAGATACCCGCAAGGATTCTCGGTCAGCAGAGAGTTTGTTGATGAGAAGAAGCAGTGAGAAGTCCTGAGATTTCCGATATTCTCTACTAGCCCGGTGTATTTTGGCATCCAAGGTTTTTAATAACCTATCGTGGCCGGGTTTATTAGCGTAAAAACGCCTTACAGGAGAAACAAGGTGAAAAGCAGTCAGTAGGTTTTGGTAAAAGATGTCACTGACGCGGTGTGTATTTCTCGACAGGGAGAAGTCATCCCAATTTTGGGAAGCCAAAGTGGACGAAAAAGCTTGTAAAATTTCCGGTGAGAGGAGATGAAACATGGATGGACTCAGAGGAGCAGCTGGGCCATAACTGACTACGTTGCAAGAGACAACACAGTGGTCACTTCCTGGGAAGCGTGGGCCAACTGCAGCTGTAGCCAAATGGCCATCGTTGGAGAATATTAAGTCCAGAGTATGTAGGCCGCGAGTGGGACTACGTACAATTTGGGACCAGCCCTCCACACCAAGTTGCGCAAGCAGCGCGGCGTAACGGGCGGGGCCAATGGCAGAGGACCAGGAGATTTCCGGCAGGTTGAAGTCACCCAACAGAAGTTTAGATGGATGAGGAAGGGCATGCGCAGTGGAGATGATACGGGAAAGATCAGCAATGGAGGAGGGGGAGGTGGCAGGTGTTAAATAGATACAACCTACTAGTACAGGTCGTTTGGTCCGTTCTACGGATACACAAATGATCTACGGAATCCCTTCCAGAGAAGATTCCTCAAATGGAGTTGCACGAAGTTCTGACTTAGAATAGATGGCACAGCCACCGCCCCTTGAGTTTTTCCTATCGGAGCGCTGTGTTAAGATGACCGAGTCAGGAGTTTCATCTGTGAGCCATGTTTCAGTCACACAGATAATACTCAGTCGTGCAATGGCTCCAATCGCTCGGAGGTTACGGATTTTGGGCAGTAATGAGCGGGCATTGAATAACATTATTGACAAGCTCATTGGCGAGCAGACGGTACCAAATAGGAAATTTGTAACCTCACTTACGGTGGGGTTCTGCGTTGGGGGGACTAGGTACCTTGTATTTAGGTTATATGAAATGGGGTCCGGAGTCTGGGAGGGAGTTTTCAGTACAGTTTGTAGATGGGAAAGTCGTCGTTAGAATGGGTTTGAACCCACGGCAGGAGGTACTGGGTCAGGCTCAGTATAGGGTAAGGACTGATTTTGGGAGGAGGAGCTCCATGGACAAAGAGTAACAGGTTGGGTCGGGCAATCGTTTGTAATAATGTAATCGACGTAGTCAGAAAGTAGTACCGTGTGTGGTAGCTCGGCAGAAACAGCGGGATTTAGGTCGTGCGGGATAGAAGGGCAGGAGGAGTGTATAAGAGACAGGGAATGAGAGGGTAAGACAGGGGCATCGAGAGGTCGGGTGGATCTGTTTTGTAGAGCTCGGGGGGGCGGACGGGTAACCAAACTGGGCTGATTGGAGGAGATGGAATAAGAGGTTGATGGTAAGAGATGCAAGGTGAGGAGAGGGGACAGGACATGGTGAGGAAGTTAGTGGTATAATCAAACTCT